TGACCTTGACCTAGATTTTAAGGTCAAAGGTCAATGAATCTTTTGCAGTTGGTCCCATGTCTCTACGCCTTGTCGTTTTAGAAAAGTTCTTGATATTCGTAAACATTGCAAACATTCAGGGGCAATAATTCATTATAGGAGTTAACGAATCCTTTCGCAATGTTTGATTGGAGAGTCCACTAAATCAGTCGTAAACATTAATAAAGGTTTGGAATCTCTACGGTTTACGGTTTCGGAGGAGTAGCGATAACAAGGGTTTACACTGAAAGGGGCACTAACTTTCAGAGGATTCAATTTTAGGGGACAAGCATGGAATCTCTGAAATGGTTTTAAGAGTACATACTAAAGATGCAAAGACATTTAGTATTTGGTTAAGAACAAAAGAGCTATAAAAAATGCTAAATTTTACATATTTTGAATGACCTTGACCTTTGACCTTGACCTAAATTTCAAGGTCAAAATTCATTGAATCTTCTGCATTTGGTCCCATGTCTCTATGCTTTGTCGTTTTTGAAAAAATATTTGATATTCGTAAACATTGCAAATATTCAGGGGCAATAATTCATTATAGGAGTTAACGAATCCTTTCGCAATGTTTGATTGGAGAGTCTACTAAATCAATCGTAAACATTAATAAAGGTTTGGAATCTCTGCGATTTATGGTTTCGGAGAAGTAGCGATAACAAACATTTCTTGCGAAAGGGGCAATAACTTCGAAAGGGGTCAAGGTACATTTATGCAGGGTGAACTGCAATAATCTTCTACGGAGTACATTCTTATGGACTATAAATCTTTTCGATAAATCTTCAAACAAAAAAACATGCGGCGGAAAAATAATAAAAAAAAAAAAAGAATAATAAACAGAAGAATATCAATAGGTCTTTCCACAGAAAGGTGGAAAGACCTAATTAATTTGTGTGGGAAATGGGGGGGGATACTAATATATTCTTATCGGGCCGGGACAATTTATTTTATTTTTTCCATTCTGATTAAAATCATACTCGCTCCAAAATTCTGAGCGTGATAGATATCTGATATAATTTTATTTATTTTTAAATGTCCGGTAAATATTTATACTTTTAATGTGTAGCTACGATAAATGAAATCTAAATATATCACGTGTACAAAAGGTTAATTTATAATTATAACATTATATTTACATTTGCAAATGTTTTCCTTTATATAACACTACTGAAAGCAATGTGTATCTATAACTGTATAAATACAGGTACGGGGTCAAGAGGGGGGGGGGGGGGGGGTCTGCAAGTGGAGTGATCTGCCCTACGAACTAAATTGATTTCGAGCTTCATTGTAAAATCTGTTCCAAATCATGCCGCATTATCAACATTTTAAAAGATGGATATAATACAAATTTTGTTGGAGTGTATTTTCTCTACTGAAGTACTCCACTGAAGTAAACAGTAATAATGTGTGTTCATTCATGGGGTTTTTTCTTAAAGGAGGGGGGTAGTGCCACTATCATATATTGAGAATGAATAAGTAAATTTAATATTTAGGCCTTTGTGGAAAGAAAAATCCCAGATTTGCACTTGTTTCTTATTTATTGTATGCATCTGATCAGAGACGTATAATAGATCACGCATCTGGAGACAATGACTGATTGAACTGCGTTGTTTATTATTGGACTAGTCCATTTATGGAATAAACCAACCGCCGGATCGCAGCGGGAAGCACATTCTTTAGTGTTGCATGTCCGCATACTGATATATTATACGATATGTTGTTTAAAAGAATGAGATTAAACTTGTAGAAAGAATTTCTGAAGCATTAGGAAGTTAAAAGGCAAACTTTATTTAATTCCATGGAACTTGCTAGCACACCCATTCATACAATAGAACAATCCAAGGAAAAGGCGCGAAGAAAGCAGTGACATTTGGCGCGAAAAGAGCGATTCACCCCTTTCGTAGAATGTAAATGGACCGATCCAGTAGTATAGAAATGCAGAAAAAAGGATGCACGGACATGTTGAAACGGTGAATCACATGGAATAATCTGTTCAATGCAAAAAGAGTAAAGGAAGTAAACACTGCAGTATTTTGCATCAGTAATATAATTCTCTTTTCTGAAATCTGTTTCTTTTAAAATGCAGGTAAAAAATTTCAATATAAATCAGCTTGCATAAAATCTAGCTATCTAGATATGATCGCATAGTTTCGGATTATGAAAATATCAATCCTTATACAGCCTGACGCCGTGACGTCAGGCAATAACCGACCGCCTCCTGGCGGCCGGTAATGAAATGTAATCAAAGTACTGAAAGTACTGGGAAGCGCTAAGCAATTAAATTTTTTTTACCCCAGTCATATTCCTTGGTTAAGTGTGCAAGTTTTCGATCATATTGATGACATTTCAAGAAAAAAGTGGAATACATGTATTCGTAACTTTAAGAAAGAAAATACATTGATCAAGAAATAAAATAATTTCAATTTCCTATGCACATGAATTGGTGATCTTTTTCAATGATACTGTATAACAATCATTATAAGTCTTATTTCTTATTTATAAAGTAGTTTTTTATCATAATTTTTAATCCCTATTAACTAGTGATTGTTTTCAAGGATGATTTGATTATGTATATTGCTATAAATAACACTCGAACAATTTCCCATAGCATTTGCAGTCCTTTCCAATAACTTAAAATACTTTCTTTTATGGCGATTTTCATGTTTGAATTTTTTTTTACCTTATAAATAAATATGGAAAGACACCTTATCTACAAAACCTGAATACATGTATAAACTTCAATGTATTTGATGTAACTTAAATAAACTAGAACTGTCCAAACGGGACAAATATCCCCTGCTGGGTTTTTCAGAAGCAAGTTTTTCCATTACAAAGATATGGACCGGACATAAATTATGGAATTTTTATTCCAGTGACCTTCAACTTCCCCAAATGACCTTGGGTCAAGGTCGTGACACACCCTTAAGGTCATGGGCACTCTTTGTTTGAAATGAGATCCTACCAAGTTTATCCATAAGAAAGATATAGATGGGACAAGAATTATGAAATATTTCTTCCAGTGACCTTGACCTTGATGTGCGTATGGATAATCGTTTGACGTAATTTCTCAGTGACGTCATTAAGGGTCGACGCGCGTTCAGAGGATTACATACATGCCGTTGGGTTTGAAAAATAACGCATTTCACACGTTAAAAGTCACAATCAGGCAAATATAAAGTATGAATAAGTCACAAATGTAAATATAAGTAATAAGGTATCATTTTAAAACATCTATCGGGCTATAAATACGGGTTGGTATGAGATTAAATTCATCATAAAGCCCGGGCTTTATGGAATTTGATCTCGTGACCAACCCGTATTTATATCCCGATAGATGTTTAAAAATGATACCTTATTTCTTAAGTAATTCACGTGTTTGGCAAACATTTAAACGATTTAGAAAAACGTAAGGAATAACAAATTTAATTCTAAACGAACGCATGGATTTGAAGGTATTTTGCTAAATGAAGATGCTTTCGTCAATTTCACTTGTACACCATTCGAAACATTGAAAATAAATTCAACATCTTTTTCTTTCTCTTCTCTTTTCACGTTATAACTAAAAAAAATAGATGCCTAATGTTCTCCATAATGTCACTGTTCACATGAAAAGTATACATGTATCGATCGCCGCATAAACAACAATGAAGGTTCCACAATCCCATTATACTGTATTGGAATATACAAGGGGCCACTTCGATTCATAAAGTATTAACTCTTGGTTGACGTCACATGACCGGATGTTTACACAAACATGTGCTTTTCAAGCGAACTCATATGAGTTTGAAGGGTAGCGAAAATAAAATAAATTTCCTCTATGAGTTTTAAAAGGCGGTCGAATAGGTCCATTCTGACATCATCTGTTGAGTTAATTTTTTCTCTAGCTTTTGCTGCAGTTGAAACGTTTTTCTTTTTCAGCTCTGAACTTTTTTGGTTTCGAATTTGAATTTATGTCTCTGCTGTAATCGGGCAGTAAGCCTGAAACATCTAATCAAATAAGCATATATTCATATAAATTACAAAGGGTTCATGTAGAAAGTGCGTTTCGAAGTTTGCTTTTAAGGATAAGCGATGCTAAACAAAATATTTAGTAAAGAATAATTCCTACGTTCGGGTTTTTCTTTCGACGCCGCCATATCGAAACTCTAGTAATCCTACTGTATGGCTGGATTAGCTTGGGTAGAGTTCATAAGGTCTTATGACGTATTTTGAGTAGTAACTATGGTCGTTCGATTGAAACTCAAGTAACTCGAGTACGCTCGGGTACGAATCGAAGTCGCCCAAGGCGGCAAGATCAAAGCGGGGTCCGCTTCAAGCATCAGTGCGTAAAGCGGTCCCAGAAAGCGAACGCCGGGTTCGCTCTAGCGGACCCAGAGCTGACCCCGAGCGAACGCGGAGCGAACCCGGAGCGCACACAAAGCGCACCCAGAGCGGTCCCAAAATTTCTGAAAGCAAACGCGAAGCGGACCCCGAGCGAACCCGGAGTCCGCTTCGGGTTCGCTCTGAGGCCTGTTCAGCAGAGCGAACGCGCGAGCGCTCGCCAAAATTCCTTATACGTCCAATCGTAATTTTGGCGACCGCACGCGAATGCTTGCTCTGCTGGACAGGCCTCAAGTGTTAGGTTGTGTGCGGTCGGTTATGTATGCCTTATTTTTGCAAAAGCTATTTGAATTCTTCATTTGTTTGTGAAACACAATCAAGTTTCTTAGTAAGTGAGATGAGTTTTCTCTGAGGTTGCGACGTATGCATGCTCTTCTCCTGAATTATGTTATTGTTAATGATGATGTAATTGCGTAATCTAAGGTTTCTTGAATATTATAGTCTTCCTTGTTCAGAAGATAACAAAATAAATTGAATGTTACAGAAATGTTTCATTTAGTGTGAAGTCATTGCTCCCCAGAAGTGTCAGAGATTTTCGTTCTACTTGCGCCTTAAACTAATTTGACGTATTTAGACGACGTGTCCTAAAATTTCTTATAAGCCATGCACTGGATAAGCTTAATATTTGTTATTGTATGGATACATATATATACCATACAAAAAACAAAAAGTCAGTTGCTGTATGATACGCATAAAGAATAGTACGACATACACATGGAAATTATGAAAATGAAAGAAGAAATGTGTCGATTACGTCAAGAAATGCAAAGTAAGTAAAGTAACTGTACGTAACTAATATAAATAATTTGTAATCATTCAACTTCAGGTTGAGAACAAAAAACGACAGTAGTTTGACTATTGCACCATCTTTAAAATAATTTTGTTTGCCCTCTATCGACTCAGGATAAAATTATTGGGTCGTTATAGGCACGTGTGAAAATCTTTTTTTAACGATATCAATATATTTATGGAAAGGGGGAATAAAAGAAAAAATGTGTTCTTAGAGCGTAAAAAATGTTTTGAGTGGGGCCATTTTAGTGTGTCGGTTGGGAGAGGGCAAACAATTTTTTTAAAGATCGATGTTCTAAAGTGAAAAAATAAATCTATGATATATTTTCATTTTCCAGTGAATGGGAGAGTTGTGACATTTTCAGCAATTGCAAACGAAACTATTCTTCAAAGAATCACAAAAGGAGGGGAGATAATTATTTTAAAGACGGTATTGAATAACGTAGGAGACGGATATAATTCTGAAACAGGAATATTTACGGCACCAGTGGCTGGAAATTACGCCTTTTTCTTCTCTGTCGAAACACTACCGTATCAACAACTGAGTATTCATTTAAATCTCAATGATAAATATGTAGCTGCAGCATTTGCGGGAAAACGTTCGAACTTTTATGACACCGGAGGCAACATGGTGACTCTCACCTTGGAGAAAAATGATCGGGTATGCCTTAAATCACATCCGAACACTAAGAACGTTAACGTTGCTATTCAGTATAGTTTAAACAGCTTCTCTGGATTCTTACTTTCCTGAGACAGAATCAAAAATTTACTGTGAAAATTTAAGGGAACACAATTATGCCATCAATACATTTTTTCAATACCGCAATATATTGTATATATATAAAATGTCCAACAGTAATAAATTGTGAATATAAAAAAATGTATATTGCTTGTGCTTTAGATCAAATTAAACTTAGTGAGCAAAAAAAGAAACATAAAATTTAATTATATATGTTTTAAGAATAAGAAGGGCGCCTATCTTAGCAAAGATATCTGAATTTTGAAAGACTAAAGTTGGTGTGTTATTTATCAGGTGGCACTAGTAGATGAACTCCATGTTCAAATATAATTTATGTAATTTATGTAATTCAAATGGTTGTACCATACAAAGGCCCAGAATGAACAATACAACTGAAAAAGCAGTGTATCACCTTGATTAAACCTGAATATGACTAAGGAATAAGTTTGATAGCAAGGTCATTAAAAAGGTAGAAAACTTATAATAATCAAACTCAAAAGTCAATTAAAATTGAAACTTATGGTGGCATATATGTCATCCACTTATCTTTTTGTTAACATAGTATGCCATGTCAAATCAAGATATCTATCTCGTCAAGCCATGATTCCTCACTTGTTTGTCGACAAACGTCGTCTTTATATTCTTGTCCAGTCGAGATAAGCAATCTTTTTTGCGATAGCTATTCATGTTGCAATTGATGGCATGAATATGCAACCATAGAAACTGTATAGATTTGTAGCAGAGCAAGCGATTTTGTTTAATGGACACTGAAAAAAGATTTGTTTGTGAAACAGAGATGTTCCCGTATGGCAGCTTATGGTGTAGGTTGTAATTTCTCAAATGTTAAGATGAGGGTTAAAAGGTCAAACATGTTGGTATGGAGAGGTAGGTTTTTACAAGTAATAAACGTGAAATATGAAAGCAGTAGCACCGCCTATTCAAAAACATATAGGCAAGAACAATTTTGTGGACAGACAAATAAACATAAAATCACTAATATATACGAACGGGCAAGACAAAATACTATATTCCCCCGAATCTTCAATTTCGGGGCATAGAAGGTAGTCCTGAAGGGGTCTAGCGCATGCTGTGTTTAACATATTTAATCGTCATCCGATAAGGTGTGACTGAGCCAGTCCTGACGGGGACTTGTCAATTTTCAAGAAAATACAGGGTCCAATATACTTTCACTATAGAGATATTCAAGTTAAATCAACAGCTGTTTAAATACAGTTGGGAGACAAGGGCTATACAGTACCAACAAATTGATAACAAGGCCTTATTTTTGCAAAACCTATTTCAATTCTACTTTTGTTTGAAAAACACAAACAAGTTTCTTAGAAATTCAGATGACTTTTTTTCTCGATGGCTGCGGTTGGGACAGATGATCTGCGTCTGAATAATGTTATTATTGTTTAGGGGGTGTAATTGTGTAATCTAAGGTTCCTGAGTCTTCTATGTGCAGAAAATAAAAAATAAAAATGATTTTTTTGAATATTTAAAACCATTGCTCCCGAACAGTGTCGAGACATGTTTGCTGTATTTGCGCCTTTTACATTTGACGTATTTATACGAATATTATAAAATTTCCATTGCCAACATCAACTGAAAATTATTTCTTTTGAAAAAGCCATGCATTGGATAAGCTCAATATTTTTTTTAGTTGGATGCAGATATCAGTCATACAAGAAATACAAAAACACAAAGTCAGTTGTTGTATGATAAACATAAAGAATACTACGACTCACAAAATAGAGTTATGAAAATAGAATAAAAAATTTGTCCATCACGTCAGAAAAATAAATGTAAGAAAAGTAACTGAATATAGTTGATATAAAAAATGAGTAATCAGTCTCAACTTTTGAAAAGCAAACAACGACAGTAGGTTTGGTCATCTTTAAAATAATGTTTGTTTGCCCTTTACTGACTCGGGCTATAATTATTGGATCGGAAGGTAGTTCTTTTTATAAAATAAGATTTCATCATATGTTTTACGGAAAAAGAGGAAAGGTCGTGTTCTTAGACTGTAAAAACTTTTAATAACCATTATTAATCAGTCGGTCGGAAGAGGGCAACCAAATATGTTTTTAAAGATGACCTGAAGTTTAGTCTTTCGACACTCACAATTTGAATGGTTCAAAGTAAAAAAAAAGCTGTATTTATTTTCATATATTTACATTACCAATAGAATTTACCTTATGATTCTTTACCAAATAAAATTCAATTTATTTTCCCATGAATAAGAATGAATTTGATTTTTGGAGATTCGTGAGGTATCTGTACTACAACGCTTCACGCGGAACATTATCATGAAGCGCGTTAAATATGCCTGCGTGAGTCGTCGTAGTTCATAACCCTATGAATTTTCAAAAATTAAATTCATTTCTTTATTAACATGGTTAAAATTTACTTAGTATTGAAAAAAAATGTATATGTCACCGTATTATATAGGATATGAGACATGCATAAATATATAGAAGTGCATGTTAACATTTAAAATTTGTACATTTTTGGTAAATATTATGATAAAAAATATATAAAAACTGGACGTGCATAATTCTTCAGTGAAACTATTTTACATAAGAAAATATTTGAATTGGTATACCTAAGGAGGCGTTATTCACGCATTCTCAATTTATAGTGCCAAATCGACTTTGGGAAAAGTCAAAAAATTTTGTGAACTGAAACTAATACTTTTATATGTCATTTGAAACATGAAGGTGTATAGTTATTAAAAATCACAATTTGATTAACATACTTCATACTGTGTCTTGTTGACCTCCCTCGAAATGAATGCGATTGGAGGGCTAATTTTACACCAAGATATTTACGTGATGTTGAAAAGCCATATTTGAAACGAAAGAATTTTTTTAAAAAATACAAAATTAAGATAATACACATCAAATTTTGTTAACTATAACATGTATGAAACCGTTTAAGCACATTTGTAAAAGGGTGTGAAATCTTTGATTCAATTATTAGTAAAAATAAAACATGCATAATTTTCATTTAAATGAAATTATTTTCTTTTATTTTAAAAAGTTTTTATCAAATCTAACGATAAGCTAAATAATGACAATATTCCATAACATGCTTCATTATTTGATTCTTTATTAATCTGTTCAGAGAAGTGCACATTTTTTAAAATATCAGAAGGTAAAATATTTCGCTATTACCTGATTACGAAGTGTTTGTTAAAGCCGCTTGGTCCGATTCTAATCGCTAAAAATATACATTCGTTTTTCTTCTTGAAAAATAATTGTCCATAAATTGTTTCAACTTTTGTCAAAGTCTTTTTCTTTTAAAAGATATGAAAATTCAAAAGTTAAAAAATATTTTTTGTTAGGTCACACAAAAAATAATCCTATGTTGATCATTGTTGATATTGCGTGAAATCACCTTCGAAAAATTAAATTTATCGCTTAATTGTTTATCTCATGAAGGTGTGTTTTTTCAAAACAAAGTACATATATTACCTGTACACGGACAATATTTTAGCTCCTTTATAAAAATTATTTAAAATATCTGATTTTCCTTTATTCTTTAAATATGCATATTGATATAAAAATTACTATGGATTATATTCAATTAATTTCTTAATTTTGAAAAGATGTATTATGACTAAGGCTTCTACTAATATGGAAAAAAATACTCGGGTTTGAATCATCTTCATTATTAGATATATCCGATTTAGATTTATTTTTTTTTCAAAATTGACTTCACAACAGATCTTAACTTCCGTCAGGAACTACTGTTTGTCAATAAGGTTTTTGATATGCGTTTTCCATGTAAGGATTGTTGTAATAAACAATTAAATCATTATTATACTTTATTTTTATATATATCTATCAATGATGTACTTTTATTGTGTAAGATAATATGTGCCTGTTTCGGGTTAAGCGGCTTTAATAACACGTAAATATCGCACATAGATATCATACAAAAATAAAAGTATATTCAGGGGAAAATGAATATATTATTTCAAATTTATGAATTTTATGAATTTTCTTATCTTTGTTCTTGACAAAGGGTTGCATTGAAAATTCAAGTTATGACTTATCTATAGAGGATTCATTTAATTTATGACACCCCCCTAGCTTCCATCATTTAATCTGTTGATTATTTCAAATGCTTAATTGCTTGTGAAAACTTCATCTTCAAACCTCAAAAACAAAACAAAGTTACCCCCACCACCCTTAAAAAGGTTTGTTAATAATTACAGTTGCATATTATATGTGCTCTATTGGGCAATATACGTAAATTAAATTCTACATTGATATAACGTAAATTGAATTTTCAGTACCATTAAGGCATAGATGCATACGTTCTAAGTTCTAGGTTTAAGCAACAATTTAAAATGGGAAAAATAAGGTGCATAATTTAATACATGTATTTCTTGCAAAGAAACAAAAATGGAAATAGATTCAATTTCAACCAGTTTTTTGACACCCAACACCCACAGCCGCCTTTTCTCTTTACCCGATGTAGAAGACCCCCCTCCCACCCCTACATGCAGCACAGCGCCTATTTTCTGGAATTATATTTCCTACGAGAAATGATATTTTCTTCTTCAAAATGTTTAGCTTGGTATACAATTTAGGTGTATATAACCATTATTTAAGTTGACGATACACAATCAGTTCAAACAAACAGCAAAATATAAATTTTAAGAATAAAGTTTTGTTTCAGATTTACGTTCCGAATGACAACGTGCATTACACTTAAAACTATGCAATATTAACCAATTGCTCAAAATGTAAAAATTCGATCATGAAACCACAATTCTACTTGTAAATAATATTGTGTCAATTCAATTTTCAAATCACACGGATGAACAAGATATTGTGTAAAATATGTTCAGCCTTGCATGTGCATTTCCATTTGCATTTCTGCACTCTTGTTACAGGAAAAAAATGTCATTTTATGAAACTGTGTATTATTTCATGTTTTTAGTTTTTAAATCATTAAGATTTACTCGCAAATCTGGGTGAACAGCTTTAGAATTTTATTCTTATTTACTTTAAAACATGGTAACGTAAATATCGGTAACGTAAATATCTTTCTGAGATATATTTAACTTTTAATGTTGTTGTTTAATTATTCCACTGTTAATTAAAGGCATATTCTAGTG